CAGATAAAAGTCCAGGGAAGTTGTGCTAAGGTATTTCTCCCATCAGAACAACACACTTGCTCATTCTTTGGGAGTAGCACAGGCTGACCTTTGAGAATTTCGTTGGAAACCTTAACCCATAGTTCCTACATCCTCAATCTTATCCCTCCAGACTTATTTTGTTTCCAAAAACTCAAAGAATTTAAATTTTAAAAGGAACATGGTTTGCATCGCTCGGGGATGCCTAAAACAGCCAGTTTTATCAAAGAGCTAAGAATTCTTCAGAAAGGATGGAAGAGATAAAACACTGTCTTCAGATGTGTACAGATGTTAGAAGCTATGTTGAGAAATAATAACCCCACATTTTAATATTTTTGTTCAATAAAGATTACTGTGCTTTTATGGCAATAATTTTTGGCGCATGTGTGTGTGTGTGAAAATTTATACACATCAAGACTTTGAACAAGAGAAAGACACAAGAGTGAGGGAGTATTGCAATTCTTTCCCATCTTGTCTCTGTGCCTAGGCATTTTTACGCAGATGTAATTATTCTGTATATTTAATTATGCACCAAATCCAGGAGTTTCTAGGCCTCATTTCTAGTATATTTTGTTAACTGTTTTTTAAAATGTGAAATAACATTGATTTCTCTGGAATGAGCATAATGAAGATAGCCTAACATAAATAACCTGAATACTTAATATTTCATTCTAAAACATTTGCACTTAGACTTTCAATGTTCAGAGTCTTTGCAAATGTGGACAAAGAAAAATCAACCATTTAGTATTTACCATAATGAACTCTCCCAGAGCAAACACCCTAAACCCATAAAGAAACTCCATCTCACAGCCTTATATCCACATGATGCAAACAGTTGTCAGGATGTCCCCTTTCACAAACCAAGTGTAAAGAAATCCAGTCCCAAAGACCCTTCCATATAGCAGTGAAAATTCAAAATTAAACCAGAAAGAGCTAGCACTTACATAAAGTTTACTGTATGCTAGCATTGTCCTAAGTTACACACTAGACATAGTAAAAATTCATCATCACAAAACTAAGTACTATTTTCATTCTCATTTCATAGGTGAGGAAACAAAATCAAAGAAAGATAACTGACTGAAGCCCCCGGCCCCCCCAGCTAGAAAGTGGCAAATTCAAATCCTAGCAGTCTGTTTCCAAAGCCGCAGGCTGTCGGCAGAGTTTGCATCAGGTGTAGACTCAGGAAATCTCACTTCTCGCTGCCGTGTGGTCTTTTGAATTTTGTTACAGCTGAAGGGGGCTCATCTTCACCGTGTCTCTCACAGCACAGAAGTAGGAGGCAGAGTCTTTGATCTGGAGCCCCGTCAGAAGGAGGTAACTATATGTATTAGAGCAACTGAGGAAGGAAGAAAAATGACCTTTCTTCTCCAACCCATCCAGAACATTGTAAGCGAGAAAGACGGGCGCTCCACCATCACTTTGCTGGTACCAGGACAGCCCATTGAAGCCAGTTGTCTGGAATGTACAGTTCACCTTCACAGAGGCTCCTTCCAGAGCCATCAACGCAGGGGGCTGCTGCACGTCTTGTCCCATGGTGCCTATGAGATACAGAGACATGCTGTTACCGGGGCCGTGCTCCTGGAAGCCACACATCTTTAGTAATAACCATTCCTCATAATGGTTAAAGAACATATTTGCCACCATTAAACTGTACATATGAAAAAGCATGCCCATTGAGATCAAGTCCATTCCAACATATCAACCCTACAAGACCAAAGAGAGTGGTCCCCATAGGGCTTTATAGAAAAATACTAAAACGTCTTTATGCCACCGAGCAGCTGGTGGGTTTGAACCGTCAACCTCTCAGTTCACAGCCGAGTTCTTAACTATCACACCCCTGGGGTTCCTTGTACATGTGAATAGTATTGAAAAGGCAAATGTTTTGTTGCTTATTTATTCACCATAATTTTTTTAACTAAGAAACTATTAATTTTCATGCAACCTCCAAAAAAACTGCCTCTAATAGAGGAGTCCATGCATATCAATACATGATATAAAAGAAGAAGACACATAGCCCCACCTAGGGAAAATATGTCGCAGGAAAGATTCTTTTCATCTACAAATGTCAGACATGACAAACATTTCATAGGAAATTACTTTGGAAATTTGCAACTGTGTTTTCTATCTAGTTGAGCCTTACCTTCCATTGTCAGAAAAACATAAAGAAGGAGAATTCCCTGTGTCTGGTCCAGGAGACCATGAGCCTGGCCCAGCATCCCTGGCTCCTGAGCTGCTGGAGTCTACAGACAA